GTTTAGAAAAAGACACTGGGAGGGCTGGCACCATTCAGTCCTAATAATGTTGCGTGTTGTCAGCCCACAACAGGACTTCAGAGCGAGTGTATTTCTGGCAGATCAACAGGTATTTTTCTGTACTTGCAGGTTCTTTAAAAGGATAAAACACAGAGAAATTATCATGTATTGCAGATATGTACTGCATATGTTGTTGTTTTTTTTGCCTTGTCATACGCAATGCAGTTTGTTTCTTTTCCCAAAAATAAATTCAGTTTGGTAAACAATTCAACCATTTGAGTGCATAATACAATAGCAGAAATAAATATCTGATGAGGTGAGAAGTTTTGGCACTGTCTCTATCTCTTTTGGCTATCCATGGAAGTTTATTGTCAGGAGCAGATTAAAGCATACACAAATTATGTTCCTGAAGAGCGATCCCTCCATCTGACAAAAGGGAGTACTGCACTCAAGAAATGTAATTCACGCTACTTTATTCTGCTCCTAACAATAAACCTCCAGGGTACACCCTTTGTAAGTACAAGAGAGCCTTGCTGCTTTGTGACATTGGGGGCAGGTACCCACTGCCCATATTATGCTGGGAACAAAGGAAATCATTATGAGACCTGCATACATGTACCAGTGTGGCCTCACCATCTGTTAGTCCTGAAAGTCAGGGGCATCTTATACAAGGGCCTGTAATTGTCAAAAAGGGTCTACTCATCCTGTGTGCAGACATCATTACATCAGTTATATATATACACAGCACCGCAATCACAAAGACCCTGAATCTGACAGCTGATGGGTTTTCATAGCAAAGTAACCTTCCACCCATGTTCCAAGTATCATCATCTGAGATTTCTGCATAGTTCTGAGTGTGGAAATGCAAAAACACATGACATCAATCATCTCCAGTCTTACATTTTTAATTAAGGAAATGTCAAGAAAACATTGTCATTTTGGCACAGACGAAACCCCTCTGTGAGCAAGTGGCCACATTAAGCTGTGTAAATCTGTTAGCAAGCTGTAACATTGTTCAGCATTCGCTTTTAGCACATTGTGAAAGTTCATATGTGGATATTCCTGATTCATCCAATTTTGTAATTACTCATCAAATAGATTTTTTAAGTGTTATGCATGCTTTTGTAGGGAAGCTTAGTGAAGGAGTACTCCGAGTCAGTAGTATTTCAAGTTTACTTCATTTTGAAATATGACTGTCTCCACTTTTAAAGCACTCTGCTTCCAGATAGCATTCCTCGCCATCTATTAATCTCCCCGTCTTTCTTTCTAATCAGCCTGAATTCGAAGGAATATTTTTGATGCTTTAATTAGCTGGAAGTTATTTGAACTTCTGTCTTCCAGTGCTGACCTTTGTTGTCTCCTAACATTCTTTATGAGGGGTATATTAGACAACAGGAACAGAAACATGACTGTATTACATGTAAATAGCAGGATAAGGACATTTTGTAATAGAAGTATGCACATAAGTATTACAAATAACTCATGTAGCCACTGTAGGATCAGCTGTGGAATGTAACTTTTTTTAGACTATTTTTAATGGTATGAGATGTTTTTACCCCCACCGCCTTTTGCTCATTCCTGCACCAGATTGATTGTTTTACGTCTATGAACCTAGTTTAAGGATTATAACAATAATTGCCATATTAATTGCTAGTCAGAAATTTGAAGTTATATCTCACCAAAACATTTTTAATTGCATAGGGCATTGAGAAATTTCATAGAGCATAGTGGAAATTTCTCACAAGTGAGGGAAAATTCCCTCTTATGGTGGTCATACCATATTGTGCTTATATACAGTATACATTCAATCTGTATCCAACCAGGGCAGGCCCTGCGAGGTGAGCTTTTGAAAGTTGTCACTGGAACAGCTGTCCCCACTGAAAGGTTTCTCCTCTCCTTCTGTTCCAGGCACAACCATAACCTTTGGGATTTCCCATGCAGGATCAATTTCCCAAGCAGAGACATAGACCGTTGTAACTTCATGACAAGGATTCCAACAGTTCACTACTTTATCCCAAAGAATAATAAAAAAAAGCTTTGGGTAGAGGTACACTTTACCTTCTTGTTGGAAGACACCTCATTTGCAGCACACTGAAACTAAGGTGCTGCTAGTGAGATGAATGTCAGCAAGAGAATAATTCTCTCAGTTGCAAAAGATTAAAATAACTGTGTGACATTAACCCATCATAAAATAAGGTGATGGTATTCAAAGGCCCGAGAATTCAGCCAAACAGCAGATGGTTGATTGTTTATGGGATGAGCTTAGACTTGCATGCAAATACAGTAAGACGTTTCCACTTAACTTGCCACCTGCTTGTTTCAGACCAGTGCAGAATTTCAATTAAGTGTAGTAGCATGATAGCCTGGCTTAAGAAATACCTGGTCAAAACTTAGGTGCCTCCCAATCCAAAAGGAGCTTCTCCTGAACACAGAAGGAAGATCCTTCTGTGTTGCCTGATAAGCTGTGGGTGGGGAACTCTCCATCCGCATCTTGACGTGAGCAAAGGGGCCGGGGTGCAGTGATGTCATTGACTTTATATGGCTATATGCCTCTATTTGGTAAACAACATTTACCTAATATGCCAAGCTGGCTCGCCCAGAGCTTGACATTAGAAAATAGGAGGGATGCAGTGATGCCATTGACCTTATATGGCCACATGTCTATATTTGGTAAATTACATTCACCTAAAATGGCAGGCTGCCTTGCCCAGAGCTTGACATAAGCAAAGGGGAGGGATGCAGTGATGTCATTGACCTTATATGACTACATGCTTATATTTGGTAAACAACATTTACCTAATATGCCAAGCTGGCTCGCCCAGAGCTTGACATAAGAAAAGAGGAGGGATGCAGTGATGTCATTGACCTTATATGGCCACATGCCTATATTTGGTAAATTACATTTACCTGATATGCCAGGCTGCCTCACCCAGAGCTTGCCATAAGCAAAAGTGTGGGATGCAGTGATGTCACTGACATTATGTGGCTATGTGCCTATATTTGGTAAATGGCTATATAAGATAAATGACGTCAGCACAAGCATGCCACCCTTTTGTTCACATGCATCTGCAGGGCAGGGAATGCCCCGGCCCCCAGCTGATTGGGTTGAAGTGCCCATGTAACTTCCTCGTTCAGATGAGCTCAGGTAAGGACCAGGTTTGGGTTGAGCTTGAGCTCATCCCTAATCACCAGGACAGGTAAGCAACTAGCATGACAAAAAGGTGTCTGCTGTTGCAGCAAGCACATATCACTTGTGACAGGTTCAGTTTAGGATGTTAAATCTTTTAGTACAAGAGAAAAAGCATGCAGCGGCACCATCACAAACTCAGTCCAGTTAAAGTGTTGCCTTCTCTTTCAGAGTTTGGCTAGCCATTCAAATGTGGAACATCTTGCAGAGCAGCAGTGCCAGGGGTTAAATGCTACTAGATTTAGACAGGCTGCAGCTAAATTGTGCCTTGCTGGTGGTCCTAGTAATTCTGGTGACCATTTAGCACTGCATATGTTAAGGGAATAATTGGCTCTTGGGGATGACATAAAGCAGCTGTTTAGTTTCCCTTACCAGAGCCTAGGCATCTACAGCCCATCCAACAAATAAAGATAACAAACAACTCTGTCTTTCAGAGTCGTATCTGAATGCTTGTAAAACAAACAGAGATGTATATGAAAAACAACTCGCAAATAGCCCGGGTTTGCATCTTTCAAAAAGCACTGTTATTATTTGAAGAATACATAAACACGACATGTGAAAAAGGGGCATTTGTTTAGATCTTAATGAATGAGGGGCAGGATACCATTCTAGTAAGAAAGCTTGTTTGCTTTAAAACTAAATAAAAAAGTTCATTGATTTCCTATAAATTGGAAAATTTGTATTCTATTGCTGATGGACTGTGATGTATAAACATATCAAAGAGAGTTTTATCTCTCCTCATCTGTATGTCAATTACATTCTTAGGCTGAATAGCGGTCTTCAGGCAGCTCTTGGCAGATATATGCTGCTGAGCCTGTGAATTTCAACTGTATTTACACTTGATTAAGTCCAAATGCCCACCAGGCCATACTGAACGGCTAACTTTAAAAATACAGTTATTCTTTCCTTTCATTTCGCGCCTGCATTCTGTGAAAGTAACTCACTCAGTAGCTTTAGTCAGTTCAATTTGTGAAGCGGTAATTGCCAGGCTACAAACACTTATTTTGCTCACGTTGCACTGTGAATGACTGATCTTTGGCATTTCAGCAAAGTCTTTCTTTAATATACAAGGTTAATGGTCGTCCGCAACAGCTGTGTGTAAAGTAAAAGGATATCTGAACTGAATTAGAAATACACTGGAAGGCTTACCAGTTAGCATTGAAGTCATTTGTTTACTTGTTTGGCTTTAATGTTACATTTAAGTGCAATTAAGGGCTCCTGAATGGGCATCTAAACAAGTACCAAATCCAGTTACTATGTGATGTATAAGTTTCATAAAATAAACAAAAAACATTTTACCTTGCCTGACTAAGCCAAAATATTAATTTGTGTCTCACATGCTCCCCCTCCCAGACACTGCAGCTCACATTGGGAAGGTTTCAGCAACAAAGGTAGTGCTGTCAATCCCGAAAGCAGTGGTCAGGATTAGGTGTGACTAGGTGCTGACTGGCAAGCTACAGCCTTGAGAATCAGCAGTGACAATGCTGATAGCCAAAGCCACAACAATATTGTTTTCATCCCACTGTAGTGCAAGCAGGCACAGCCTATGTGAGAGTGACAACTGTGCTCTGAATTTAGGAGCAGCGCAGAATTGTTGCCACACCATCACAGAAAGTTGTTTGTGGGACTTTACAGGGGGACGTACATAACTCTGTAAGTGCAGATGTACTTCTAATTAAATCCTGCAGCACATATTTTTTTGATGGGATGCCATAGTTCTATTTTAAGTTACTTGCTTAATAATTGTATTGTCTGATCTGTCATGAACAAATTACTAACCAGCCAATATATATTTAATTTTTCTTCTCTTCAGGTGGAGATAACACTGCAGGATATAAATGACAACCCACCAGTATTCCCAACAGATATACTTGATCTCACCATAGAAGAGAATATTGGAGATGGATTTAAAATAATGCAGTTAACAGCTACAGATGCTGATGAGGTATGCAAAATGTAATACAAACATGCACACACAGATATAGGTGTGTAAGATATATATATATATATATATATATAAATTGCCCTTCTTTCTGACTTCCTTTGTCCTGTTTATATAGCTAGTGGAGATACCTTGGCACTCATAAAGGTAGAAAGATAGGTACATACAGTATAGATTTTTACCATCTAGTAAATGCCATTGCCAGAAATCTAGTTTTTTTGCTCCATAAGAGCGGTAGTAGAGTAGAGTAGTGTCTTCTGTTATATTATGATATTCTTTAAAGCTGAACTCCAGGCCAACAGATAAATATGCAGATGAAGTAAACCCATTGTAATTGTTTTATCTATCAAATAATTTGTACTTTTTTCTCTATATTTCTGAGGTGTGCACAGCTCTGCTACACAGAAACCACTCACAATTGAGGAATGCAGTGGTGGTCTCTCTTAACCCACCCTGCTGACTGGACAGTGAAAGAGCAGCAGCAAATTGAAGAGTTCATCCCCTTGCTCACTTTCCTCTCCCCTCCTATCAGCATGTTCCTTGTCAACATGTTTCCTTGCAGCACACTTGATTCCCAGTGCTGCCCAGAGCGTGAGTGTTGCTATACATGGAATTGCAAGTGGCTGTAATCAAGTCAAAATCCTGAGCTTACGCTGGGTAAATTTAGAGAAAACAGTTAATAATTTATTAAAGAATACCTAGCTATATTCATTTGTTTCTTTTTTTATCTGCCTGGAGTTCAGCTTTAATTACTGTTACTGTTTTAATAACTTTTTGGCACTTCAGTGGAATTTTGTTTTATACTTTCCCTTACCATTCACTATTACAAGCACTTCTCCGTCTACAGTATATTAACTACTTATATCCGTACAAGCTAAGAAATAAGTAATGGTAAGAAATGGAAAGCTTAGTTGACAGCCAAGCAGTCAGGCATACGAGGAAAGAGGTATGTGTGCCAAAAAATATGCTCATGGTGGGTATGATTTACAACACAAAGAAGTCATTTTTAAATGAGGACAAAGGCAGCATTTCTAATACTCTGCTCTTAAATGAAATATTAATAACAAGCACATTTGATGACATTACACATCATGTTTAATATTAAAGAACATGATGTGTACAATATTACAGACACACACAGGAATTCTGCAAAGGCAAATGCTAATTTCCCTGTGTGGGATTCTGACTGTGTCTTTCACCACATAAATATTTTAGTACTATATTTAAATCTATGTAGATACATTTTGGAAGCAGCATATGGAAGGTAAATACAAAAGAAACTGTATACAAACATGCATCTGTGCCATCCTTTTTACTAATTTCTCTTTTTCCATTAGATACAAATAATTAATATGGATAGGGATGCACTGATAACAGGTTTTTGGTATCGAGTATGAGTACCAATATTTTTCTTCCGGTACTCGCCGATACCGAGTACTGATACCGGTACTTCTGCTAGCATGGAGCCGGCTTCCCATGCAATTAGAAACCCAGCCAGCAGGTAATGACCCGCCGCACGGCTTCCTGATTGCCTGAGAAGCTGGCTCCATACGGTTTGGCCGACCCCATGCTGATTGGCCGGAAAACTGGCTTCCCAGCCAATCAGCATGGAGCTGACTTCCTGGCCAATCAGGAAGCCGGGAGGTGGGTCATTACCCACCGTCCAGCTCCCTGATTGGCCGGGAAGCCGGCCCCATGCTTTTTGGCCGGCTTAATGCTGGTTGACCGGGAAGCCGGCTTCCCAGCCAATCAGCATCGAGCCGGCTTCCCGGCCAATCAGTAGGCGGGTCATTAACTGCCGTCCGGTTTCCTGATTGGTCCATGCTGTTTGGCCAGCTTCATGCTGATTGGTCAGAAAGCTGACTTCCCGGCCAATCAGCATCAAGTAAGACAAACAGCAAGGAGCTGGCTGCCCGGCCAATCAGGAAGCCGGGCGGCGAGTCACTACCTGCCGTCCGGCTTCCTTATTGGCCGGGAAGCCACCTCCATGTTCCCTCATTGCACTGCCGGTCAGAGGAAACCTCCCTCTGCCTGGAAGTTCTGGTATTGCGGGTAAGTATCGGAGCATTTGGGCGAATACGTGTACTCAGTATTGGTACCTATAGCGATATTAGTATCGGTATCGAGCATCCCTAACTATGGGTATCATAGAATATATTTGTTAATTACTATATATGTCCCAGAGTTAATGTTTTTTTTGTACTTTGCATGCCATCAGAGGTTGTAATACACAGTGATTTTATTCCCATAGAAATACCAGGAAGCATGCTAATTTTTAATGTTATTTGTGTTTCTTAAATGATTTGTTTATTTTAACCAAAAAGTTGGTACCTAAGTAGGACATCTCTGTGTAGCAACATAAGACCTTTCCAGACTGCATAGCTATTCAGCTTTACCTAGGAGATTTTGGATTTCACCTACAGTGCAGGCGGTATAGTGGTACATTTATAACTATGTTTTATATTAGAAAATGCAACTACTTTACATTTAGCATTGTAGTGAACAGAGGTCCGCTCTCTCAGTTTCACACATACAGTATTTTGTAGGAAGAAAAAACTTTGTAGTCTGACATGGAGAGAGATCACCTATTAAAGTAGTATTCAACTCTCAAACTGTATTTCAATAATGAACCCAGATCAAACAAATATACATTGCCCAGCAAAGTATTTTTTTTCCCAAGCACTTAACGTCATCAGATTTCAAGACAGCTCCAAATCTCTGAGCTCCACTTCCCTGATCTTCCTGTCCAGTACAAGATCACAAAGGACAGAGCAATCTCCAACAGCTTCCAGCTTGGAAAATGGTTGGGGGGGTGAGGGGGGTGAAGGAGCATGGAGCAGGGGAGTGACTTGTCATGTTGTGCCTGTGTGTTTGTGTTGACACACACAACTTACTAGTACACACAAGGGTGGCTCCATAGGAAATTGCAAGGGAAAGGAGCCAGGATATCAAGGCCAGTTCTCAAGGGATCAGCTGATTCTGCAGGCAAGAAGCTAGAACTTTTAAACAAGGAGAAGCATCCACTGTAAGTAATTTCATCAGCATTTAAATGGCTTAAAAACCTTTTGATTTTGACTTAATATCACTTTAAGCCCCCCAAACCTAAATCTTCTCTGAATTTCAACATTTAAAGCATAACACTGGCCAGAATGTAGACAACATAGATTCACTGTCAGGTTTGTACTGCCTTGTGTCTTTCTGTCCCAGTGACAGCTGTCCTCCCATTTTGTATTCTGTTGTCACGTCAGGTGAGGTGAAATTTCCCAAAGAGGGCAATAAAAGTATTTGTTGCCTCTCCCCAATCCATACAAAATAAAAAAAACCCAGCAAGTTTTCATTGTTTTGAGTTGTACTATAATTAATGAAGTACAATATATAGAAAGTGTGGCTTTAGCCAATAATAAAGAATCAGATCTTTCTGGCATCTAATCTTCCCTGTAATAAATCTCACACCCAAAGCTGCCAGACTCCACACTATCATATCTAGTCATTCAGCATTTGCTTCACATACTATCAGATTATTGCTAGGAAGAGAGGAGCACATTGGAGGGGAGTTCACTACAAGTGCTTATGCAAATTCCTAACCAGCTAGCATGGGTAACTTAATTTAAACCTGCCTCAAATATCTTAATACAATTTGCGGGTACAGTTTTGCACACATGTGAAAACCACCCATATCTGCAAGGTGCATCTGCAATGTATTTCTTCTCTAATCTATGATTGTCCCAACAGTAGGGCACATATAAAAATGAAGTGAAGTGCAAACATACCTGGAGTTTATCCCAATGTCAAGTCAATACAAAAATACCCCAGCACACTTTCCAACTAGTCAGCACAAAAATAAATTGAGAGCAAACATATCTGGAGGTGAATCCAGTGTCAAGTCAATACAAAATACCCCAGCAGTCACCAGCTAGTCAGGACATTCTGATTTAAAGGTTTCAACGTTTTAAAAACAAAAGTAGCTTTGCCACACTGCCAGTCAATGAAATTCTGCAAAATGTGTTCCCTAACTCTAAACTAGTTCTGAACTTGGGCTCTCAGCTCTTTCTGAAACTAGAGAACACCATCATCCTTGGTTGTGAGAAAAGGTGGGGGGTTTCCAGAAACACCTTGCATTATTTAGAACTATGTTTTAATTATTTTTATTTTCTTTGCTAGTCAGGCTTAATCCTTGGGAAATCTCAGGGAATAAAGAAATATTGAACCTTCAGACAGAGAGGTTTTGCAGCATGCTGGAAAATCTTTGTAGTTGACTTTTTACTAATTTCCATAGCTTTGTGTCTTCTATACCTATTTATTAGCATTAAACATTATTTATTTATTGTATTTAGTGTAAATTTTGTAATTGTTTGGTCAGCTTTTTAACAGGTGTATTGTATTATATAGCCAGAAAATAGGCTTCTACAACAAAGTAAAAAGCACATACCACAAAGCAAACATCAGTAGCTGATGGACGTGAGCAGGTAGTTGGTACTAGAGTTGTCACTGTAGACATGAACATGAATAATTGTTTAAATAGGAAGAATGCATTGTTGCATAAAGTTACTGAAGACACATCAGTTGTTACATTTAATATTTCAGGTAACTAATAAAAGAAATGGTACTTTCAAACTTCCGCAGGGCGAATAACATAGCACAGGGTCTTCCCACAGGCAGAGGCACTTATAATGTAAACTGTGACTCTACTGGAAATTGACAGGTTGATTCTACAGATTGTTAAATAGAGCACTTATTAGAAAAAAAAGGTTAAAGAGTAGTTAAAACTCCACCCACTCTAATACCACTCCAACTCGCCTAACTTAGCCCTCTCAGTTCCTTGTTGAGGGATAAAAGGGTTGAATGTTGCAGCTGCTACCTGAGCAGCTTCCCCTTCTGATAGTTCTAATAAAAATTGTGTACTACCTCCATATGTTCATCCCTAGCCCTTGCCGAGAGGGCAGAGTTGTCCTACAGATTTCATCTCCTTACATCTATCATTCCTATGTGCAGGGATGGATAGA